TATATATATATATAGAAATCTTGCTATTAATGGAAACCAATAGAAAAGCTTAAGGAAAACAAATAATGAAACTATAAAAATAACAACCGAAGCTAACATCGACAAGGGATACCATATCCGGAAGTCAGAAAAGCACAAAACCTTTTCTATCGAGAGAGCACGACAAATGTCTACAAATTGCTCTCTCAGTACCCCAAAGGTTTTGTAAAAAGTCCGGGAAAAGAGAAAAGAAATACATAATACAAAAACTTTACCTTTGGAAAGTTTTACCAAAGAAACTTACTACCTTTAAAATTGTAGTATTTAACTGCTTTTTGCTGATTATTTCCATTTATTTTAAATTTCGTTAGCTTGTAAAATCGTTTTTTTTTTTAATTTTTATTATTTTGCTTAAGAAAAGGATATAATTTTGCATTTTTTTCTGTTATCTTTATAATCATAAAAAATAAGGTTAATTCGATTTTAAATGATATTAAATCATCCAATTTTTTTAACAGTAATAAATAGTTTTGTTAACTTAAAATATGCTCGTTTGAAATAGTAAGCATGCTGCTTAAATAATTTACGTTCGAAAATTTCCATGCCTTCAATCATTGCCCTTAATGTATAGTTATAATTTCTGACATTTTACTCGATGATTCTAATGTATAGTATAGTTTCTGACAAAAGTCAAGTAAAAAATATACGGATTGAGATCTCATATTAATATAGTGCGGAAAAAACGATATTAGATTCATTATTGAAAGAAGAAAAAGGAATTTAAAGTATTAAAATCTGTTTGATCGCTGGAAGAAGCAGAGAGATTTGAAAAGTGATTACCCTTCCAGATTTCAACTGGCAAAAGCGAGAGCTTACAAAATATTGCGCCAGATTACGACAACGGTTTTCTTTTTTTTTTTTCTTTTTTTTTTCCATGCATAAAAATTTTTGCAATCCTTGTGTGCATACTTTTTTGGCTTTACTTTGACCAGGATATTGGAAAAAAATGTCTTTAAGGGCATTGTTTGTTCTGTGTGCAGGCTTTGTGTTAAGAAAATCTTCAAACATGTGTGATGGAAGCAATATCAATGCTATTAAAGTTTTAAGAAATGTGGATAAAAAATTATGGTATTATCGTTTCTGCCAACTTCTGATATCGTAAAATAAAAATGTTACAATACTCGTCTGATTGTCATTTTGTTTTATGTCATTTATTTAATTAGCCAATTTGAAATTAATTCAAAGTATGTAAATTAACGTAAGAATAACGTCATATTAAATCAAAATAAGAAATATCTTTAATAGCAATTTTAGTACAGTGTGTTGACTTTTTGCTACAAAAATATTTTAAAACAGGCTTATCAGGAACTATGACAATGCTTTTTAAGATGTTACATTTTTAAGAAAATCGGGTAAAACTTTACAGTGTTTTCCTGTTCGCCATTAAGCCATCGCAAAATGGAAGCGTTTCAATACTGCCCATTTTGTTTTACTTAATTTATTTTGCTAGCCAATATTAAGTTAATTAAAAACATGAAGAATAATGTAAAAATAAAATTATGCTTTTTTATTTTATTTAATATGCCATCTTGAAATTGTATTTCTTTTCTTTTTTTAATCTTAAAGATTGCCCAAGAAACAGTGGAACAGTTGATGGAAAAAATGAGTGTTCTGCAGAAAATGGAAAAAGAATCTTCCGGTGAGGAAAGAAATATTAATCCATATGATTTACAAGACTCTGTAGAAACTCCAAATGATTGTGATATGGAAAGTAATGATGAAATAAGTTCCTCAAATAATAACTCAGAAGATAAACATTCTAAAGAATTTCTTATTCAAGTTAGTTCTCATTCCACTTTATTATAGATATATAAAATATAAATTAATTACATTTCTAATTAAGCATCTACTTGAATTTTTTTTTTTTTATTTATTGATCTGCTGGGCAGCTAATTTTAACTTAATTTTTAGCTGCTTGTGAAGCATTAATATTTATTATAATAAATACATCAATAGATAAATGTCTACTTTTAAATTTTCGTTCATTGATCTGTTGTGCTACAAGTCTTAACTTATTTTTAGCTTGTTATAAAGAATTAATATTTATTAAATTAATTACATTAATAAATGTCTATTTTCAAATGTTCTTTCATTGTGTAGCCAATTTTAACTTATTTTTAGCTGGGTGTATGGCATGACTATTTATTTATTTTACACTGCAAGTAGTCAGCTTTTTAGTAATCATTTAATTGGAAAAACAATATATGTCCGACAAAAAATTATTGAGTGGCTTCCAATGATTCTTGGTTGATCCTCAATAGTCTAACAGCCTAGTTCACAATAATCCAGCAGCGTGGTTGGCAGGATATTTGTAATAAAAAAGTGTTGATATGAAAAGAAAGCGTTCGTGATCTTAATTGAAATCTATCAATTTTTGTAATGCAGGATGCATAGCTGAATGCTAAATGAGGGTTTGAATCTAATCGATATACGTATTTGATTCGCTGCTCACCTGCAAGCATCATCACACTTACCAAGAGAAGGTCTTAGAGATTTTCGTTCTCCTAGCAACTCAAATGCGGGTTTCATTTATGAACACAAAATTAACTTTATCCCAGTAAATGACCGCGCAGTTGTCTTGTTTTAAGTAGAGTTATAAAATACAAAATTCGAGACATAATACATTAAGTACATATGTATTTAATGTGTGATTGTTTGATTTAATGATTGATTGATTAATGTGAGTTGAATTAAGTTAATTTTAGCGTACTGCTTAAAGCACTGTAACCAGAATCGGCTAAACTGTGCGAAAGTTAATGGCATCATGTGCTCTAAGTGAACTAATAAAACGAATTTGCAAAACAACGTCTAAGAGAGAAAAAACGTAAAATATGCATTATCACTGAGATACCTCTGGATCGAGATATTCGCGTTTATCTGGCAAATTAATTTAGGAATGTGGTTTATTAGAAATATCTCCATACAGTGACTTCTTCCTATTTCTTAAATATCATAATCTCAAAAAGAGCAGTAATTGTTGCACCGACCACAGTGCTGACATAAAATATCCTCAGTGGTAGACGGATCATGGGTTTGAGTCCCCTTGCCGTAAGGCTAACCGTGGAAGATTTTCGTGGTTTTCCTGTCCAGTAACGCAAATGCGGGTTAGTTCCATCAAAAAGTCCTCCACGAAGGCTAGTTCCCAATGCTTGATCTAGGAGTTTCCTGGTTTTCTGTATTAAGTTCAAAATTACAAGGCTACGGGGTGGAACACTGGTAGTCGTAAACCTAAAATTGGGTCGGCTGTTCAACGACGGTTAGAAAATAAAATTATTCCATAAAAAATGACGACTTTCATTAGCATTTTTCAGATATTATGGGATATTTTTATTATGTATTTCTTAACATTTTGGAAATGAAACGAAGCCCACTAGACTCAATTTATGAGGTTTATTTGCCATAAAATTATCTAGAAGATCACTAGGATAAAATTTCGCCCATTAAATTAAAAAAATTTAATTTATTAAACGCAGACTATTTATTGCTTACTAGTACATGTCATATTTTTTTACATTGTTGTCGCCATTGTCAAAGCATTCCATAAGTCTGGGTAGAAGCTTTTATATTCCATGGTCATAGAACTTTGCCGCCAGTTGTCAGAACCACATTTCAACTTCAATTTTGATCTCCTAATCGTCAACGTAAGTTTTGCTGTGGAATGCGAACGACGTGCTGCTGATTAAAGGCACACCATTAAATTAAAAAATGACCTGGAGTGAAATGTTCCAGGTTACAGTCCGTGTTGCCAACAGACTATCAAAAACTTTTCCTTTGCAGATAACGGTGAAATATTTTTACTTTTCGAAAACGCCTCTTAGCAGTAACCGTTTTTTAATAGTATGTTTGTAAAATGCTTTATTTGTGCTCCATTGCATTTGTCTTCTAGTCAAAAATATTTATTGAGCTTTTTTTTCTTTCAGGATTGTACTTGGGATGATCATGCTTATTCCCTCCTAAATGAGTATTACAGTGATGTTGGAACAGTTTTAGATGAAAAATTTAAAGTTGCTTATGATCTCACCTATTATACGTTAGTTTTTATTATTTTTTTTTACATAAACTAACTGAAAACTGCATTTGTCACTGCACCTTATTCTATTATCTATTATATTTTAAGATAAATCGGTTTAATACTGCGAAATTGCATTTGTCATATGCATGATATTAAATTTTCAGAAAGCTTATGCAATCCATGTACAAAAAGTGGGTCTCTTTATTCTTTTAAAACAATTTTCCTGACTTTACATTCTGGTGAATTGTGTAAAAATAGTTTTTTTTAAATAAATTCTACTGTGATGATCTCCATGATGCATACGAAATACTGAATTCTTCAACTTCTTGAGTTTTCTTTAAATGATTAAAGAGCCTGGTTGAAATCAGGTACCAAGAGGCAATCTTTTTTTTTTTTTTTTAATATTTTGCAAGATTTTGGATTTAAAAACCTGCTATAGTTATGTTAAACCTTTCTCTAAGGTCATTTAATAAAACAATTGTTAATGGTAAAATGCATTTTGGAATGGCTTCCTGCTAATGCTGTGTTAGCTAAAGCTAATGTTTCTTAATTTTTTTTAAATGTTGCTTAGATCATTTCTCAACTAAGCTTTTCAGCCATTAGTTCTTCTAAAAATTTAACATGAAAACTTCAGCTTTTAGAGACAAACAAATCGTTATTTTATAACACGAGTAAATAATATAGATATTATGGTCAATTACTGTACATTTATATTATGGTCAATTACAATATCTGCGAACCCTTTAATCGAATCTCCTCACACGTTAGGCGAAACATAAAACTAAGCAAAAGCTAAACTTGTTTGAATTATGTTTTTTTATTACTTTCTTATTATTTTTTAATAAAAGATTTGAATGGCTCTATATTAATAGTAGGAAGGAAAAAAATAGAGGAGTCCATGACTGGGGGGTGTCACCAAAAACTCTGAAGCGAGGAAGTAGTTGTCCTTCTAACTTGCGCTATCTGTCAGCAGATTTCTCTTATAACAGTAATTCAGCTCCTTCATGTCCCAGATTGCAATAATATACTTCATATATTGTGACTATTATCAGTTCTAATTTCTATTTTGTTTCTGCAAAAAAATTCTTCAATTGCTCATTTTCATTTGTAATTTTGATGTTATTTTTTGCAGAATGGGTCACAAAGAAAATGTTGATACCACCATTTTTCGACGCGCTGTTTGGAACTATATTCATAAAATATATGGTATTATTCATGATGACTACAATTATTTAGAAATGGAGGATTTATTGGATTTTGGATTTAGATCTTATGCTCAGACTGTGTGTTTTTATCCTGAAAAAATTAAAAAAGATGCTCATGATGAGATTATGCGAGCTTTTAGACATTCTGAGAAGGTAAGAAAAAATTCTAGTTTTTATTACTTTGAAGAAAACAGTTACTATATGTTAAATATTAAACACATACTGAGACAAGGATTTTTTTTACGTGTTAATTCTAAAGTATTTAAACTCTGTTGTCCCATTCGTTGCGAATTTTAATGAATTATTTTAAAAAAATCATTTACCCAATTAAAAAAGTGATAATGTTACTGAAGAAGTTTGAAATGCTTTTATGTTTTATTTTATTATTATTATTTTTTAAAGAAAATAATTTTTAATAAAAAATGTTTTTTCTATTTAACATGTTCAGTAATAATCTCCTCCTTGTTAATAATTAAATCGGAAAAGTATGCACATGAGAGATCACTAAGTTGAAATCTAAGAAGGAAAATCCGCAAAGAAAATCAAAAACTTTACCAAAACCTGATTAATGACTGCTCAGAAAGGGGAAACAGAAAAAAAATTTATTTCAAAACCAGTTTGATAGCTTGGTGAACTTATAAGGTTGTTCAAATAATTGCCCTTCACCTCCTTCCCGTTCACTCTGAAAACTGAACAGACATGATTCATCAAGTCTTGATAACATTTTTTGCTTTTTCTTTCATTAAACATAAATTTTTGTCCTTCAAAATATATATTTTGTTGACTATATTTTTTGAAAACTATTTTTTGCTTTTTCTTCCTTAAACATAAATTTTTGTCCTTCAAAGTGTATATTGTGTTGACTAAATTTTTTGAAAACTTTTTTTGCTTTTTCTTTCACTAAACTTTAATTTTTGTCCCTCAAAGTGTATATTTTGTTGACGACATTTTTGACAAGAATTCTAAAGATACATAAGAGTGGTGAATATGAAACAGTCTGTGTTTTAAACTTTCTAAGAATATATTTTTAAAAAAAATATTTTATTTTATTTTAATTCGAATTTTATTACTTAATTTTAAAAAAATTTATTTATTTTCCAAATTGACTGCTGCTTTAAAATTCATTTCATAAATTTTCTTTGAGATTAGTGATTTTGAAAAGTAACAATTTTGTTAGGATTATCATTCTAATTCTATAATTCTTACTTTCATTTGTAATCAAATTTATTGTCCCACTGGTAGTTCTATTTATAATGATATATTATCACTTATAGGTTCATGTAAATCTAATGCTGTTTGAAGCTAGAATGCAGGCTGAACTCTTATATGCCCTTTCTGCCATAATGCACTATATGACATGACCTTCTTGAAGAGGGAAATGTTGGTTCATGTAAAAAACTCAAAAATAATAAAAATCATATGTAGATTAGATGAATGTATTGTACATATATATTTCAACTTAATAACTGTTCATCATATGAGAATTATCCATAAAACTAAGTCACTATATTGTTGAACTTAATTTTATGAATTAATTCGCATAATCTAATTCAATCATATGATACCATTATATCATATAATTGAATTATAAATTAATTAAATTGCATCATATGACGATAATCCCTACAACTCTTAAACTGGTTTTGTCGTATGATTGAATCATTTGGTGATAATACTCAATCATTTTATGGTTGATTGCATATATCTTGACTGTATAGTTATTTTTCTATTGAAGTTGTTTTAATAAAGGTTATTAGTTCATTATTTTCCGTGACTTTACTTGTCTATGTAATTGATTCTGTAACACAGTGTTTCCCAAAGTGTGGACGCGTATCGCCAGGGGTACGGGAACAGTTTAGCGGGGATATGCGTTCTTACATGAAATATCTTGCAACAAGCGAAAATTTCAAAGAATTTCGTTTAAAAACACAGCTAGCCCTGAAAATGTACGATTACGTATTTTTATTTTGGCTATTTTTTGCAGAGTTAACAGTTAATAATTAGTGGTGTCAACAGCCAGTTGTGATTAACTTTTGTGCAGTTTTTTATAGTAAAGATTTGTAATAAATTTTGATTATTTTTATAAAATATAATTTTTATCCCTATAACTATTATCACGGTAAAAGCAATATCATCCTTCTCACTGATGCAAATAAACTTATTAACAAAACTTGGTACCAAAAAAAAATTATAATTTTTTAAAAATTACATTTTTTTTTATTAGGGGTACACAACGTTACGAAAAATTTAGAAAGGGTACACTAAAGTTATAAGTTTGGGAAACACTGCCGTAACAGAAAATCACATGCTTTATCTAGTAAACGAAACTATGGAATATTGAAATTTACATGGTACCCACATTTCTGTTTGTCCCAATAGCAGTTCGAGATTAAACATGAATTTTTTAATATGCAAGTAAATTCAATTTGAAAAATACTTGGAATACAGTTATATATCTTCATAGTATTCACGTTTTTAATTTGTCCACATTGTTATTCAAGATAAAAAACATCAATTTTTTTAATAAACAGGGAAATTTAAAAAATAAAATCACTTAAAAATCTGAATATAGAAATCTATGCGGTACACACATTTTTAATATGTCCAGATTGCAGCTGAAGTGGAAGCGTCACATTTTTTCATATACCTAGGCATTCTGTTGACTTGTATTTAATATAACTTAGCATAGATTTTTTTGGAATCCACGTCAAAAAGAATCATATAACTAAGGCTATCCTGGAGTCATTTATTATTATTTATCTGCGAAAAAACAAAAAAGTTTTAAAATTCTGATCGATCGTTGTAAGGGAAAGGAAGAGCAAAGAAGGGATTAAAAGCATGGAATGAACTCGCCTTTCGTTAGGGACCATCTTAAAATTCCTGCTTCCAATAAATTGATTTAATCGTGTTAAATCAATAAGGATCGATCAAAGTTTTAAAAAAGGTTGCTTTCTTTTCCACTTAAATATTAATTTTTGACTCTAGTGTTCATAGTTTATTTAAGGTTTGAGGGCACACTATCCAAAAATAATACACTTCCCAAATAGCACCTAACATTATTAGAAAATCCGAAATATCTAACGTTATTTTGCGCAACTTTCAAATATTAGAAATATACAAAAGTATACATTATTTACTTAGTAGTACAGAAATACCTACTTAAAATACATTACCGAATTCCGCTACCATCCATTTTCCTTCATCTTTCTCCAAAGTATATTTTATGTTCAGTTGATTTTTTTTAAAATCAATATTGCAAATCTAATTAAGAAATAAACTTGAGTAGCTAAACTTTTATTTACAATTTTTTTCTTCTTTATACGATGAGTTTTCTGATGAATTTTATTTCATTGACCAATTCTCAATTGTTTAATTTTAAATTTTTTTTGAGAAATAAGCCAATTTTATCAAAATTTCAATTGAATTTTCGTATGGAAGTATGTTATGTTACAATATAATATCTGACCAAGTTTCAAAAAAATGGGTTAGTATTAAGGGGAAATAAGATGCATTATATATATATATCAGTCATTTCTGTGGTTTGTAGAGGGAACCATATTGCTCCCCATTGAACGCCCGCCCTTATTTTTCTGTAACTATTTCCCTTGGTATGGTATTATATTATGTTACATAATAATATCTGACTGAGTTACAAAATTATAGGTTAATATTAAAGGGATTTATGTATACAGTATATGAACAACAATTTTCTAATATTAACACTTTTATTATACTCGGCTGGCCACCCAAATTGCAACACCAAGAAAGACAAGAGATATCACAACCAGGGCCTGATTAACCATTAGGCCCGAGAGGCCTGGGCCTAGGGCCCCCAAATTTCTAGGGGCCCCCACAAACCTAGTTTTTTTCTGTGTTCATGTATATATGTCTCCCNCTCTTCTTGTTCCGGTGCATCCCAGAAAGTAAAAAAAGTGAAGAAAGGAAAATACGAAAATATTGAAGAGAAACTGATGATATGGTTTAAACAAGCAAGATCCGCCAACATACCTGTCAACGGAACTCTTCTTAGAGGAAAAGCATTAGAGATTGCGGAGAAATTGAATGTTGATTTTACGCCTTCCAATGGATGGATTGATCGGATGAAAAAAAGAGCTGGTCTAGTTTATAAAACAATTAAAGGAGATTGTAACAGCGTTGATTTACAAGAAGCTGAAGAATGGAAAGCTAAATTACCTGAAATTATTTCAGGGTATCAACCAAAGAACATTTTTAACATGGATGAATGTGGACTGTTTTTCAATCTTTTACCAGATAAAACTTTTGCCTTTAAAGGTGAACCCTGTCATGGCGGAAAAAACAGTAAAGAACGTTTGACAATTTTAGTTGGGGCCAGTATGAATGGTATAGAAAAATTACCGATTTTAGTTATCGGTAAATCGAAAAAACCAAGATGCTTTCGAAATGTTAAGTCACTGCCTTGTGATTATGACAGTAATCAAAAATCCTGGATGACAATTAAAATTTTTGAAACGTATTTGAAAAAATTAGACAGTAAGATGCGAAAAGAAAAACGAAACATCATAATCTTCGTAGACAACTGCGCTGCTCATTCCAAGGAGAATAAGTACACTAACATCAAGTTGCAGTTCTTACCACCAAATTCTACTTCTGTTCTACAACCAATGGATCAGGGAGTTATTAAGGTATTTAAGCAGCATTATAAAATGCGACTTGTGAAACGGATGCTGGAAGGACTTGAAAATACTGGAGAGCTAAAAAAAGTCAATATGTTAGAAGCGATTGAGTTAATTGTATCAGCATGGGAATTAATAACACCATCTGCCATTGCTAACTGTTTTCGGAAAGCTGGATTCTCTGACGGAGATACAACTGAAGAATATCTCTTAGAAGCTGAATATGAAATATCAGATGAAGACGAAGAAACAAACGTAAATTTTGTTAATGATTGGAAGTCATTCAAAAATAAACTTAATTTCACAGCATCGTTTGAAGAATATGTATCCGTTGACGACGAAATTTTACCTTGTGATATGCTGACATTAGAGGATATTTGTGATGTTACAAATGATACAGAAGAATTCAGTGAAACTGAAGAAGATATTGCTAAACCACCTAGCTTTTCTGATGCCAGGAAAGGGCTGGATACTTTTAGGAAATGTATTTACACTGTTGAAAATGTACCCCCGGAAATGTTTAAATTTTTACAGCAGTTGGACAATTTTCACTTAAAGGTAGGTGAGAAAAGACAAAAACAAACCACTTTACACGATTTTTTCTCACAGAAATCTAGTTAATTATTGTAACAACGTATATTACAATGTATGAAACAAAAAATAAAGTAGGTTACTTTGTTTTTATTTATTAGCAATTTTTTTTCTAAATGAATATTAAAATTCAATATTTATTTCATTAGGCTGAGAATTTAATATAAGTTACAAAATTTCAAATTTTTTAGTTTTTTATTAATGTGTTTTTAAGTTTCACCGTTTAATAAGTTTTCCCGTTTAATAAGTCGTTTCTTTCCACTCCCTTGAAAAACTTCTTAAACGGGTTCTACTGTATATCAGTAATTTCTGTGGTTTGTATAGAGGGAACCATATTTTACTGTAACTATTTCCCTTGGTATGGTATTATATTATGTTACATAATAATATCTGACTGAGTTACAAAATTATAGGTTAATATTAAAGGGAATTATATTTATGTATACAGTATATGAACAACAATTTTCTAATATTAACACTTTTATTATACACTGCTGGCCACCCAAATTGCAACACCAAGAAAGACAAGAGATATCACAACAAAATTTATTTTATAGATAACATGTTGACCAAGTATCAAATGATTAAATTTATAAACTTCTGTGAAGTGTGGTTCCTGCCAAAATCAGTAGCCAGAGTAGCCGCCATTGTTAGAGGTTACCGCTACCACACGCCTCGGCATTGATTCAAAGAGACTTCGGATGTGTTCTTGGGGTACAGCAAACCAAGCAACTTCCACACGCTGCCAAAGTTGATCTGGTCTGGTGTGGCAGCTGGGGATGTAATCTGGGTCAATCGTTGAACAATCATGAACCACATGCTTTCTATCGGTGAAAGATCCGGAGAGCGAACTGGCCATGGAAGCAATTCAATCTGGCGATTGACGAAGAACCCTTGGACAATGCGTGCTACTTGTGGTCGCTCATTGTCCTGTTGAAATATGGCTGTGGGTAAGCTCTGAAGGTAAGGAGGGACAACTGGCTCCAGCACCTCGGAGATGTAGCGTTGGCTGTTTAAAGTACCGGCAATGCGTACTAGAGGAGTGTGACAGTGATATCCAATACCTCCCCACACCATAATGCCCGGTGAAGGACCAATGTGGAGGTGCATAACGCAGCTGTTCAGCATCCTCTCTCCACGGTGTCTCCAGACTAGAATACGACCATCGTGGTGCTGCAGACAGAAGCGTGACTCGTCAGTAACAAGGGCGGCGCCAGTAGGGGGTCAGGGGGGCAATTGCACCCCTGTCGGNAGGAGAGGGAAGGGAGAAGGGCTAAAGGCATGAAACCGGTCTCTCCCCAGATGGCGTATTCGAGTGTTGCGATCGCGAATAGTCTGATCACATTTTTTTTAAAAATTATGTCAAAAATTCATTTACAAATGCCTAATAAAACATTTTGTAGTTGATTTTTTATTTATTTATTTTTAAGAATCAGCAACAAAAATTAGTAGAATATTTTGTAAATTCTATGTAATTGCAGTTTCACTGCATTACTCATAACTTTGCCCATACCTAGTTAAACTAGAGACCGGATGCGAATAGACATGCGTGAAATTGACGACTTTTTGAAGTCCCTTAGAAATCCTTTCACACAGACACATCTTCATTTTCTTGGAAACTTATCCAAATTGCTATTCTTTCTTCTGGTGAAAGGGGATATCTCTTTGCTGGGGGAATAACTGACAAAAGCACTGAGGGATAGAAAGAAATGCAGGTCCTCTTCTTTCTATGCAATGTGTTTATCAATGGTTTATGGGATCACATAATTGCTTTTTGAAGTTTTCAAGCAAAATGAAAGTATAAGAATAAAATAAATTTTATTAAATTTTTTAATCCTTTTTTTCTTAATACTTATAAATGAGGAAAATCATTTACTTATTCGGATTCAAGGTTTATATTCTAATCAACGCAATAAATATGCAGTCGGTAAAAAAGAAAAACAGTAACAAAATATTTTTAATTTATTATTATTTTTTATCATTTTCTTAGTAGTAAAAAGATTGTTGATTGATTCAGAAAAACAATTAAACAAATCAATTTCTTAAAATATATATTAATCAACATAACAGATTCTCATCGACTTATTTTATGTACAATGTATGAAATGGAAAAAGGGAACACCTTGATTACTTTTTATTTAATCATATTTTCACGTACAAAGAGTCAGTACCATATTTTAAGTTACGAAAATGGGCAGAAAAGCACATTCTGTTCTGGATAAAAATACAAGTTTGTCTATAGTTTTAGGTTTTTAATTTTCAAAATGCGGAAACAGCCGCAATCTGGAGGATATGATCTGAAGTTACGGCAAAGAATGGCTTTAATTTTAACTTCGCTCTTCTATTATCTCGAGAACTTTTTGAGTGTATTAAAAAATGTTCGCATAAAATTACAAAAAACATTTTATACACAAATTTTTAAGCAAAAATAATTTTATTTATAATAAATATATTTAATAAATAATAGTAATATATATTGAATTGTATGTTCTAGATATTTTTACATCCTTTTAATTTCAAAATACGAACTTTCCGAGCAATCGATCAATTAGTTTTTGAGTTATCAAATTTTAAAAAAGTCAGTTTGCTTAAAATTTCATTTATCTCGAATTATTCAACCGATTTCATTCAAATTTTGCATTTCGCAATTTAAAATTGCATTCCATAAAATTATATAAAAATTTGTATATCTTGCTATTTTATTTCATTTTATCCGTCGTTGAACAACCGACCAAATTTTCGAGTTTACGACTACTAATGTTCAACTTCGTAGCCTTGTAATTTTGAACCAATCCAGAAGACAAGGAAACTCCTGGGTAAGTACCCCCAGAGGTATTGATTTCTTATGGGAACATGGAGGACTTTGCGACTCGACAGATTTAACGTGCATCAGTCGCCCTTTACTACACGGGGATTTCAAAAATCGGGATTCAGAATTTTTCCAACTCATATTATAAATACAAATATAAAAAATATTAAATATTTTCTAACTATTTAAAACTATATTTTTTGCGTGGCATTACCTTTGGAAAAATGAATTTTTGCAATTGTATGAAAATTTTTTCGATTCAATCAAAAAGCAAAACGTTCTTGAGATATGACGAGATTGAGATATTATCATTGAGCAATTATTTCGAAGCTATTACTATGAAATTAACAAAAAAGGACAAAATGGAAGACGTTTTTATTTATTTATATCTGATATTAATATTGAAAGTGAACATAATTTCAGCTTATTTTCCTCTTTCAATCATAATCCTTAAAATTATCAAAGCATATATATATGGATAACCATCAGCTAAATTATCTTTCTATATAAAAAAGAAAAATTATTTTGCTATTATCAGCAATATTGACATACTTCAAATGAATGTACAGTGCGCAAAAAAATAAATGGACCCACCGGAATAAAGTTTAATCTTAAGTTCGGATCTTCTTGTTCTAGGACTCATTCTTAAGGGTTCGAGAGGGTGCCATCAAATATACTAATTAATTAGTCCAAAAGATATTTTAAGTTAGGAAATTAGACATAAAAACGTTATCCGATTAAATATACCTTTCTTCGACGGATTCAGATTTCTGACCCCTAAAATATAGTAGTTTCAATCTAGAAATATTGTTTTAATAGTTTTTTCAGGAATGCGCTTGAAAGTTAGGACCCTGTAATGTTAACTTTAGTTTTTGCGTATTTCACTATATCCCAATTTTTTTTAAGCGAATTGTTGCATACAATTCCTACTAGATCAATCAATTCCTATTCGTTTCGCCAAAGATAATTTCATGCAAAATGAAACTTTTAGTAAACATTTAATATTACTTTATTTAAGTCGAGAAACTTAAGAAATGTAAGGTGTGTAATTTTTCACCACTTGCAATTTTAAATGTCAAAATACAAAATTTAAGCAAAATCAGTCAAATAAGTCCTGAGAAATAAAATTAAAAAACTCATATTTTTCGAAATTTGGTCCCCTGACTTCTTAATTTTTAGTGTCCATTTTTTGTAACTTAAAATTCGTAACTATGAAAGCAAAAGCAAATTTAGAGGAAGGAATGTTTCGCGTTGACATGTGGTAAACAATAATCAATTAACTGTGTGAACAGGGCGAAACAAAAATCTTGGTAGAAAGTGTGCTTTCAGCTTCGCAGAGAAACGAAAACATAGGCAGACAAACAGCAGCCATGTGTGGCAATTTTTTTTTAAAATGTAAGTTAGTTAATATTAGTTTCTCGGAGGCAAATTTAAAATTTGTAAATTGAAAAATAGTTACAAATTTAAGGTATATTGTTTGAATCTTATATTTTAAGCCGATGGACTTACTCTTTTTCTCAAATGGAGAAATTAGTATTTTGCCGGACATAGATGTTCACTTGAAAAGCATCTTTGAAAAGAAAAAGGAATCGCAAGGAAAAATTTTAAAAGTCTCTTTGTATTTATTTACAATATATATTTACATCGAGTCCCCTGATCAAAGTAGCCTTTTTTTTTGTCCGTAAAATTATACTATGTAACAATTTAAAAAAAATTCGAATTTTACAATTTTCTGGGCATAACCATTTCGAAGTTCGTTCCGAACGGGGCATGATATCTTTAGATGGAATACGTGGATGCAAAAAATGTACTTAAAACTTTATTTGCAAAACATTTAAATGATTCAAAAGCCAATCGATGCGAATAAAAATAACATTTTATATCAAAATGTTCTTTAAATGTTTTGTTAAATGTGCATGAAATTTCAAATTTTTATTAACGAATAATTTATGAGAGTAAGAAGCGTAGAAATTTTTTGAAATTGCGGTTACTGCTACAAATATTTTTCTTCATTACAGAAGTAATTTTTACGCATACAATGTATGGTAAATTGCACCATACAGTACAAAATACATCGATAACAGAAAAAAAATTAGATTTAAATTTACATTAAAAGGAATCTGCACATTATGGTATCAATATTAGTGATTTTAGATTCTTAGAAACACACTTGGAAAAAAAATGATGTGAGAAAAAAATGTAAAGTATAAAATTCGTTTTA